TCATTTTTAGGGCATCCAGGATTTTATCGTCGGTTCATTAAAGATTTCTCAAAGATGGCTGCTCCTCTTTTCCGATTGTTACAAAAGGATGTTCAATTTGAGTTTGATGAAGAGTGTAAAAAGGAATTTGACAAGATTAAAGAGTTGTTGACATCACCGCCCATCATTCAACCACCAAATTGTGATTTACCTTTTGAGATTATGTGTGATGCAAGCGCACGGCAGTGAGGGCTGTACTTGGACATAGAAGTGGAATGATTCCATGGGCAATCTACTATGCATCAAAAGCACTAAATGGAGCCCAATTGAACTACTCCACTACTGAAAAAGAACTCTTAGCCGTCGTTTTTGCTTTAGAAAAATTTATATCTTACTTGCTGGGTACTAAAGTAATTGTATTTTCTGACCATGCAGCTTTGAGGTATCTAATGGCGAAAAAGGAAAGCAAGCCAAGGCTTATACGATGGATATTACTCCTACAAGAATTTGATGTGGAGATTCGAGATAAAAAAGGAAGCGAAAATTTGGTAGCTGACCATTTAAGTCGTCTTCCTATGGTTCATGATGAATTACATTTGAGGGAGTATTTTCCGAATGAGCAATTACTTGCTATTTCTTGTTCTTCTCCTTGGTATGCTGATTTAGTAAACTATCTGGTCACTAATAAATTCCCTGCAAGATGGACAAAAGCAAAGAAAGACAAGCTGAAAAGTGATGCAAAATACTATGTTTGGGATGATCCCTACTTGTGGAAACGATGTGCGGACCAAGTTATTCGACGTTGTGTTGAAGACAGTGAATATGAGTCCATTTTGAAATTTTGTCATTCATTAGAATGTGGAGGTCATTTTGGCTCCCAACGGACTGCAAGAAAGGTACTCGATAGTGGATTTTATTGGCCTACATTATTTAAGGATACTTATGAGTTTTGTAAAGCATGTGATAAATGTCAAAGAGTAGGCAATATTTCTGCTAGAAATCAAATGCCCCTAACACCGATGTTGTTTGTTGAGGTATTCGATGTGTGGGGTATGGATTTTATGGGTCCATTTCTACTTTCACATGGTTTTTTGTATATCATACTTGCTGTTGACTATGTGTCGAAGTGGGTGGAAGCAAAGGCTACCCAAACTAACGATGCTAAGGTTGTTGCAGATTTCCTGAAATCTTTGATTTTCACTCGTTTGGAATGCCTAGGGCAATAGTAAGTGATCGAGGCACACATTTTTGCAACAAAACCATTTCAGCGTTGTTTCGCAGGTATGGAGTTCTTCATAAGGTCTCCACGTCATATCACCCGTAAACAAACGGGCAAGCAGAGGTTTCCAATCGAGAGATAAAGGGAATTTTGGAGAAAATTGTGAGGCCAAATAGGAAGGATTGAAATTTAGGCTTAGAGGATGCGTTGTGGGCATACAGAACTGCGTACAAAACTCCACTGGGGATGTTGCCCTACAGGTTAGTCTTTGGTAAGCCTTGCCATTTACCTGTTGAACTTGAACATAGGGCTTTTTGGGCGATTAAACAGTGTAACATGAATTTGAGTGAAGCTGGAGAATGTAGGAAATTACAGTTGCAAGAGTTGGAGGAGATTCGAAACGAAGCTTACGAGAATGCTATGATTTATAAAGAGAATAGTAAGAAATTTAATGATCATAATATTTTGAGGAAAAAATTGAAAGTTGGCCAAAAAGTTTTGCTCTATCATTCTCAACTTAAACTGTTTCCAGGTAAGCTTCGCTCTCGATGGATAGGTCCGTTTTTTATTACTAACGTTTTTCCGCATGGTGCAGTTGAGATTCAAAGTCTAAGCACGGAAAAGAGGTTTGTTGTGAATGGGCATCGTCTTAAACATTACTATGAGGGGTTCCAGAGCAAAGAAGTGGAGTGCGTAGTTTTCTTTGAGCCGCATGATTAGCTTAAAAGATGTTGTGTCGAGCCAACGACAATAAACGAAGGCGCTTCTTGGGAGGCAACTGATAACTCTTGATTTTGCCATATTTTATACCTTATATTTATTTATTTAATTATTTATTTATGTCGAGTTGGTATTATTTATGTTAATTTATTCTAATAATTGTATTCAATTTCATATTGTTTGTATAATATTAATTTATTAGTTTTTAAGTGCAATTTATAATTATTTTGGTGTATAAATTAAATTAATTGATGTTTTCTTGAATTATATTTTTTGGCATTATTTATGTGCTATTTAATTATTTAATTTTGGCTAAATTAATTTTATTATTTATTTAAATAAATATTTATAAGATGTTCATTATTTATATAGGTGAAATAATGCTTGAAAATTGATATAGGAGTCCAAAACTGGCCTTAAAAAATGAAAAAATGGCTTCAGAAGCGAAAAAAACAGTCACCGGCGTGAAAGTCAACAAAAGTCAACAGTCAATGCCAGAAAGTCAACGCACGAAACTCAAAGTCAACCGAGCGCGGAAGACAAGCGTCGGCCGCGCGGAAGACAAGCGGCGGCTGCATAGGAGTGCGCAAGCGCGGAAGGCAAGCGAGCGCGGAAGGCAAGCCGCGGCTGTATTTATGAGCGCGGAAGGCAAGCGACGGCTGACACGGAAGGAAAGCGACGGCTGACACGGAAGGCAAGCGACGGCTGACACGGAAGGCAAGCGAGCGAGGAAGGCGAGCGGCGGCTGTATTTATGAGCGCGGAAGGCAAGCGACGGCTGACACGGAAGGCAAGCGACGGCTGCACGGAAACAAGCGACGGCTGACACAAAATTATGAGCTGAGCGGAAAGCCATACGTGGAAGTGAGCAAAGTGGCGGCTGCATTTATTGCCGCTGGTCAGCGGTGCATTTACTGCGCCGCCACAATAATTCCTACACAGAATTCCGCTGCATTTATGTGTCCTGCACCCTCAGCTCCTGCATTTACTACACTCTCTCAGCTTCCTTAATTAAAATCCTGCACTACTTTTTAGCCAATTTTTGGCTATTTTTGTGTAATTTTTATTCTAGAACCTTCTAGAAAATAGGTAGTTATTAGTAATTATATTAGTAGCTATTTTTAGAGTTAGTTATTTATGGTTATTTTTAGAGGTAGTTAGTAGTTATTTATTCGCGGTTGTAACCGCCAAGCTTCTAGAAGCTTTTCCCCCTATAAATATCCCCTCTAATTGTACCATATATATATGATACACCATATATATATATACACACACCATATATACACAATAATATACATTCTATTTTCTCCATTTCTTTTCTTCCGTATTTTTATCTAGTTTAATAATACGAGATTTTCGGTTTTGTGTCGCGAGCAAACTGATTTTCTCCCTCTTTTTCTTTTAATTTAAGCATAGTATTTTAGCTAGTAAAATTCCTATCATATTTCTCCACCTCACCTTTACCCAAAAATTCCATGTTCGATTTGAATTGTTCAAGTTGGATTTCGACAAGGTTGCGGAAGGGCGATAGAAGAATTGACTATTTCAGCCCTGTTATGCGCCAAAAGCAGTTTCCGGGTAGTTCAACGTAGCTAAGTACGCGGGAGCCTTGTCGACCTGCTTAGTTGCTGTTCTGAATTCGATTCCGATTAAAGAGAGGTAATAAAAGGGGTAGAGCCACTAGCGGAACTGTTGGAAGAATAATTCATGGGGCATAGGCGGGGGTCTATTGGGTCACAGAGATTCCTAGTGACAGTAGGGTTTCTTGCTTATAATGTTCTTCGCCGGGTGTCGTTGAAGCCTCGTTGTAAATCTCCCAAGATCAAGTACCAACCGAGTCGATAATCAGCTTAAGCGAGCAAATGCGATCACGTTCATTCCTCCAAGCCGCCCCGCAGTTATACATATATCTTTCGCTATCACGCCATCGTTATCCCGCTCATTTCATCCATGTAAATCTAGCCATTAAGGAACGCAAAAGTCAGACACAAACGCCTCGCTTCATCCTTTTCGAGATACGTATATTTTATCGCTTTTTAGTTAGATTTAATTTCTGCAATTGATCTTTTCAGTTTCTTCGATTGCATTAACTCATTGCACTTTTTCTAATTTAATAAAGGATATTCGCATATTCCCTGAGTTCGACCCGGACACTCACCGGTTAAAGAGATTTTTTATTTTTGACGAAGTTTTTGGAGTTACTACACGAACACACACGACACTATTTTTATTTTATACATATATCATTTTTTTTGTATCTTAAAAGATATTTTAAAAACTCTCCAAAATTTACGATCAGCAACCCAAGTGTTTTAATTTTATTTTGTGTGTTTTTAGTTTTGTTGTGTTTCAGAGTCAATTTCATGCCTTGTTTTTGGTGTTTTGATAACAGGTGAAATTTTTGTGGTTGAGTGGAGCAGAATGGGAATGATTCTTAGGCGTGGCCACGCATCCAGTGTGTTGTGATTGATGAGAGGGAGAAATTTTTAAAGAAATCAGAACGTACAACTTCATTAGGCGTGATCACGCCTAATGAAGTCTTATATTCTGAAAAATTGTGCAAAGAGGGTTTATTTTGGGAAAATTATTATTATTATTATTATCAAATTTAATATTACTATATTTATTTTTATTTCTATAATAAATATTATTAAAGCTATTAATTTTATTTTATTTTTATATATATATACTCGTAATATTTTTATAAATATTTATTATTTTATTTTTTAATTTTTTATTTTTAAATTTTATTTAATTTTATTATATATATATATATTTTGTTTCTATATTTATTATTATTATAGTCAATATATTTATTCTTATTATTATATTTATTACTATATCTATAATTATAATTATTATGATATTTATTACTATATTTATTATTGTTTCTATAATTATAATTATAATTATTATTATAGTAATTAAGTTCTAATTGTTTTTATTTCCATATTTATTACTATATTTTTTATTATAGTTATACGTTATTATTATTGCTATATTTATTATTATTATTATTATTATTATTATTATTATTATTATTACACCCTTTAAACCCTAATTATTTTTGTGTCTTCCTCTTTCACAGCCGCCCGATGCGCTCTTGTCTCCGCTCTCTCCTCAGGCCAGTTCGAACCGTTGCACCTTCGCTAGCCGCCGCAGTCCAGCCGGTTCGTGTATTCCACCGCTAGTAGCACCTCCTCCGCCGCGCGCTGCTCCCAATCTCAAACTACTCCTATACGGTTGTTCTGCGCTGCCGCTGATGATCAGCCGCGAGTCACCGGTGGATATTTCAGGGAAGTCATTTACTCTTGATCTATATTGCATTCTTTTAAGAAACCTCTATCGATTATTGCCTAGATATTATATAAAATAAGTTGATGATGAATAATTTTAATTTGGGCGATTTTCGTAGAGGCTCTTTGATGTAATTGATAAATGGATGCATATAAATGATTGAGAATGATGTTGTGATGGTGAAATTGTCGACACATGGAATACATATTTGAGATTTATGTTTGGTATCGGGTATAATTGCTAGTGCAAATGTTTTGTGGAATTTATTGAGGAATTGTAATTTTATTGTTGAATTCTTTTGCGTGAAGGCACGATGGGCAAGGTGCAAGAGTTGGATCCCTCCTACTACCCCGACCAGTGCGAGTCTAGGGTCTCTTTCTTAGTGGCCGGTCGCCCGCACCTATTCCAGGTAAGTTTCTTTTCTCCTTTCCTTTATTTCATCTTTGTTCTTGCAATAGGGACATTGTCTCAATTAGGTGTGGGGGGAGATTAGAACTTTTGATGCTATATAATGCTTTATTTTGATATACTTCCCTGCATGTCTTCTTGTGTATTTTGAGCTGAGGTTGTAGTGCTTACTTAGTTCATTAGGATCTTGTCATGTTTGTTGATGAAGTTAGATGACGGGTGTGCTTAGCCTTCTAACAAGGAACCCTTAAGTGAGTTATTTGAGCCTTATTTGAGCAAATTCACTCATACATATCATATATGCTCAATTTTTTTGGATTGTGTGTGAACATATGTTGTATTTGACTACCTAGAACTTGCTTGCTTATACTTATTGACTCCACGTTTATTGAGAATTGATGGGATTAAAATGATAAGGCACTAGGTTTACCCTTGTTGGCCTTAATTTCATACCTTCACCCCTATTATCCCCTAGTGAACCAAAGTTTGAGCTTAATGTTATTATCCTATTTTTCTTGGTTCATATTTAACCCAAGCCGATATGCCTTTTTCTTGGAATAAGCCGAACGTTTACTTGAGCCCATGGGAATTCGAGGGATTGTTCTTTGATTCATTACATTAGATTATTTAGACTTGCATATCATCAGTATATTATTCGATAGTTGCATTTGAAAGTTCTCATATATGTGGCACAATTATAAATTCATATATATTTTTGCCAAAAGTATTTCATTGACCAACCTCCTATAAAAAAAAACACTAAAAAAAAAAGAGGTGTGAAAAAAAAGAAGAAAAAGAAAAAAATATTCCGAGTCCTAAAAATAAATAATAAAAAAAGGGGACTCGTGAAAAGAAAAGTGAGTATGATGTTGTCTTGCATTGATCAAATCTTGGGAAGTATTGTGTTGTTCTTGTTATGTTGTTCTTATTCATACGTGTGTGCGACTTGCGTTCATTTTAATGTGATGATTTGATAGATTAATTCATCGGTCCCATTAGCCATTGATATCCCTTTTTCTACCCCAACCATGGCCCCATTACAACCCTTTTATTAAGACCTTTGATTATGAACATATATTTCCTGATGAATTGTGGAGTTGATTTGATTTACTTGCAAGCCTATGGGGTTCGTCGTTTACTTCATGTGCATTGAGTGAATATAGCCTAAACACTTGAGGGTGAGAGCTTTTACTTATATACATTCCTCATTTAGTGAGGTTAGTTGGTTCTTGCATGCTTTGAATCCGACGTAGTTGGCAGCATGGTTGAGTGACTTTTGCGCTAGTGAGTATTTCAATTCTTGGTTTGGATATATGCTTGAGGACAAGCATGGGATAGGTGTGGAGGAGTTGATATGAGCGATATTAGACAAATATTTTGCTATATTTTAGAGGGTTTTTGGATGCGAATTTTGTATATATGCTCCTAATGATGTGTTTTTGAACTTTCTACTAGGCGTTGAGGAGTTGGCAAATTTTGGGCATATTGGAGAGAAAAGCAGAACGCAGGAAGTCCTTAAGCGTGATCACAAAGCAGAAAAAAATGAAAATTGTAAAAAGGTCCTTCGAGGTTAATTAGCAATTTTAGAATTGTTTGTTTAAAGTGCAAAGGGGATCTTGGGATGGACTTGAAGAGATACGATTTTTTTAATTGAAGAGGAGAAGAGAAGGGGACTACCACGTTCTCTACCACGATCTCACCTACAACCTATTTATGAGAGAGAAGAGAAGCGAAGGAAGAACAGTACGTACGGGAACTTTGGAGAGCAACGCAGAAGAACTTCCGGGCACCCTTTTTCTTCATTTCTAGAATTGGTTTGTTGTCGATTTTTAAACTTGAAGGCATGATGAACTCTTTGATTTATTTTATATTTTTAATTGCTATGGATTGCGAGTAGTGTAGGTATGAATTGATTTTCGGGATTGAAATTGTGAGACTTGGTTTCGATTAAAATTGGTGTTCATCGATGTTGGGTATTTTTAATTCTTCTAATTGAGGAGTTTAGAAATCCTGAATTGATTATTGCGCACGTATCAATTTAGTATTTCATAGCTATATGGGGGATTGGCATACGAAATTGTGTAATTTTCCAATTAGCGTAGCAACCTAGAGAAGAACACTATAGGGAAGAATTAAAATCAGTTTTTAAACAAATCCTCGTAGGAGCTTGTTAAATTGAATTGGGCCTTTCTAGTTTTTACTGCTGTCGAGTTAGAAAACTACGGTCATACCTAGGATTCTTTTCCGATTAGAGAAATAGCTAACGGTCGTACCTTAGCTATCGAAAAAGTAAGGAAAGGTTGGTTGTGAACGCGTATAGATCAACTTTAACCAATTTATCCAACTAGTCGATGAATTTGACTTTTAGTCGATGATCAAATTTCATATCCCGAATGAAAAATTCATGCTTATGCTAGAGTCTAATCATCTTTGGTAATCTGCCGTGCATTTTATTTTATTTTATTTAGTTGAGCGAATTTATTTTCTCTTCTTTTAGTGTGATAAATTCAAACCCCCCCCCATTATATATATAGTATAATTTTAGATAACTAAATATTCAATATTATTATTGTTCCCTGCGGAGACGATCCTACTCACCGAACTACTGCATTTTACAAGTTTTTTATGGTGTAGGAACTGATACTTTATTTTGCAGCTTTTACGAGACAAGCAATTATTATTATATAATTATTCAATAAAATATCTCCCATTAAGTAGAGTTTTTGATAGATTTTAAAAATATATTATTATTATAATTATTGTTGTTGTTATTTTTTTATACATGTTGGATATAATTCAACATACTTAATTATATTAGTCAATATATGATCATGGTATTACAATATAAAAAAAGTTAATGGTTAATTTATTTTAATTAATTTAATTAAAAATATTGGCACTTTTTTAATAAATTATTCAGGTCCTAAGATATATCAACAATGCATTAGTATATGATATAAATATTTACTTTTTCATGCATAATATTAAATCCAATAATATTTTAACCTAAACATCATCAAATCTCTCCATCCATCAGCACATATATATATACATACATGTACGGAGGTTGATCCAGTACCGATGGGTGCATCCATCAGCATATCATACTGATACAATATAAGCCGTTCCTCATAATAGATTACAATCGAACGTTTTAGATTAAATAGGAGTAAGATAGTAATTTTAATTTACAAAAGTTGCTGGGTTGAGGCGATTTTTTCATTCTCCCTTCATTATTTACTTTCTACTGAAAAATCTTCCATCGCTCTTTGTCTTCAAATCGTCTTCTTCAACTTCTTCAACTATCCATCGTTATTCGAGGCCGGACGTGTTCATGGAGGTGATTTCGTCATCGTTCTTCGTGTCTAAGTTTCTGTAAATTATGTCATGTCCATCGTTTTATATGATTTTAGGTTAAACATTTCTCCTCTTCTATCTTATTTAAGTTAAATCATTGTCCAATCATTGTTTCTCTACGTATTGTTATAGTTTGTGAAGAAGCCCTATTTTAACCGTGGACCCGTCTCCGTCTCTGCCTACGAAGACACCACCAGGATCTCCTCCTCCATTCAGCAGGCTCTTAATAGCACTGGAATTGCGCTTAATCATGTCCTTGTAGATGAATTTTGAGATTTGTTGGAGTTTTATGCTTATTGTGTTGTTGAGTGGATGATTTTTAGTTTTTTGGGTTGTTGTGGTGAGTATTGAACAGTGGGATTGAGTGGTTTTTGGCTTTTTAACTGCGATTTATGTTTATGAGTAGCCTTTATTTTGACTAATTTATTGTTGGTAGACTTCTGTGTACTTTTTGTCTCTTTTTGTTGTTACGCTGGTGTTGTAGGAAAAGATGGAATTGTTAAACATGGTGTTTTTATTGTGTTATTAGCAATACTTTTATTCAATTAATGTTTTATTTGTCTCATTATGTTGGTTCACTGAAGCTCTGTTTATGTTGTTCCTTAGCAATAATTCTATAGATAGTGGACAAATTGATGATGAGTTTTGATTTCATGTAAGTAAATTCCTACTTCATGATATTGAGAGAGACATTTGGAAGTTGGTATCAAGTTGGAGCCAAGCAACTGCAGATTTCTATATTTGCATTTGTAATGACATTTCATCCATTTTTCGCATGCTACGAGGAATCTAAAACTTGAAATAGTAATGCATATTAAATCCCAATTTCTGATTGAAAATGTGAGTTTGTTGCTTGCGGTTCTGTTGGAATGTTTAGTTTGTCACTAGTGGTTCTGTTGGAATGTTTTGAGCATCTATTTCAAATAAGAGAAAATAGCAACTAATATGCGATGTAGCCTTTCCTTTCAGGTAGTTATTGATTGTCTGTTTGCTTTTGAAAGTGTCTTCATAAAATGTCGTCGTGTTAATTTGTGAATCTATTTGGATCCAATTTGATCTTATAGTTTTTCTCCATGCTTAGGTGCCAAGGATGAGAGTGACAAGAAAAATTTGGTGGTTATGTTATTTTGGGCAGTTGACAATCCAGCTAATGCAAATTATTTGTTAATTTCTGGAGATCGAGATTTTTGAAATGCTCTTCACGAGCTGCGCATGCATCGCTAAAAGATTCCTCTAGCACAACCACATAAAGCTTCTGCCCCACTTCTTGCTGCTGCAAAGAATGTTTGGCTTCTAGTGGTGTCTCCATAGGTGAGGAAGAGGTTGCACGCGAGGGAAAAATTTATTGTTATGATTGGTCTGTTGACTTTGATGAATTGAATTTGAATAGTTTGTTGGTATTGATCGATGGATTGAATTGAATGGGTGATTGGTCAGTTGACTGTGTATTTTTGTATCAATTTCTGCTTAACAGTTATGCTGCTTGTTAGAATAGAAAATGTTTGCCGGTATCTAGTAAAATGTTTAGTTCAGTATATATAAATGCTAGCAAGTTTAGAATGGTAGCAATAAAATGTTGAATAACATTACGTGAAAATGCTTGATGATATTAAAATAAAATGCTGAATTCAGTAAATGTAAATTCTTATCCATCATTTCATATTTTTGTTATTAGGCAATATGTTTTGGTGGAAACCATATTTAGAATGTCCATTTTGAGGTATTTTCTGGATAACATTCATATTATATGATACTACATTAACTTGCTAAACACACTTGTAGAAAATGTTTATTGGTATTCAACAAAATGCTTGGTCTTGTATATGTAAGTGTTTATTATATTTTGTTCATAATATTTTGCAACCAAATCATGTATGAACTGACCAAAAATCAATTTTCTTGTTTTTATCATTCATCATTCTATGCTTTTTTTGTTTCTCAGAATTGCTAATTCAATATGCATTTGTGTAGGATGTTTTTGAACTGTGCACAACTTGTTTGTAATTGTCTATCCCGTGCAAAGAAATCCTGTTGTTCTTCTATGATTCTCCACCACTCTTTGAAATTGATGAAAAAATTGAACAATGTTATTGTCTGGCTGGGGAATGTAAATGAAAATGTGGATTGATGTATTATAAAATGCTTTCCCAAAAATAGCATGATGCTGAGTTTCATATTTAAGGCCATCACATATTATGAGTAATACAATACAAAATGCTATTCCCTTCTTTGGTAAATGCTGATGTTAATTGAACGGTATGGACATTATTTTTATTAAACAGTAATTTCAATGTTTTAATTGGAATACGATTGCTAATGCATATTTAAGAAATTCTTATCACACCGGACCGGATTCTGATGGCTTTGTTAATATCTAAAGTTTGAAAAAAAATTAATACAATTAGATTAACACAATTATATAAACTATTATCCGAATTTGACTAAAGACGCCATAATCCAATCCAATAAACTGAATCCATTAAATTCAACCAAATAAATCACAGAAGATATTCAAAATTTCAAATCAATTTTCGAAAAGTAACTTACGCGATTGAGCGATTTCCAGTTCCACAGCGTCTGAACTTGGCGAGGACGCTGATGCATCCGAAATCGCAATCTCTTCGATGTTTCCACTGCTTGTTGTGCGATTGATTGGGTTGGAATAATAGATAATTGATTTTGCTCATCCCCGTCGATATCACCCATTAATTCTATTGAAAGAGTGCGTTTGTTTTTCCCAGCGAATGCTGCATCAAAGAAGGAGAATGAGGCTTGAGGTAGTTATGTAAATTAGGAAAATTACTATTACAACCTTAATTTAATACAAGCCATTGGATTAAAAATTCTAATTCAATCGCTAATATGCAATCAGCATTATGCTCATTCTAAAAATTAAGCATGGAATCTCAATCCTACTCCATCCGCGTATAATGATTCATTTTTCATTTTTTGTCTATCTAAAAAAGGATTACATGTTTTAAATTTTACAATTTATATATTTTTAAATTTTTTAATTAATCTAATTAATTATTTAATTTTACACTACCAGAAATTTGTTTATTTGCCTCGTAAATACCTTTGGAATCAATTCCGAGACTATCAAAAGATATATATAATAAATATAAAATCAATTCAATTTGTTGCTTCAAAATTTCTGAGACTATTTAAAAATTCTAAACTATATTAAACATATAATTTATTATATTGATTAGATTTGGAATTTCTGCACCTATTTTGATAAGTCTCGGAATTCCCGAAGCTATTTTGATTAGTTTCAGAAATTCCAAGACTACTAGTCTCGGAAAAATCTCGTAATTTCGGAACCTATTTTAATTCGTTTGTTTTATTCATCCACTAGTGGTACATGATCCAAGGGTGCTTGTTGGATACTCGGACAGAGTTTAGGGTTTAGCCACAGCCATCCATCTGTTGTAGACGCCGGATGCCCGGAGGTTGTTTACCAGGCTTAGGCGCGAGAGTATCTTTTCCAAAAGCACGTCTGGAACATCCGACTCTTTGGCCTGTTTATTTGGCCTCCTGGGAAAATCCTCGATTTTGAGGCTCGATTCGTTGCTTGTTTTCCTAGAGATCCTGCAAGCATATTGAAAAATAATTAATTGATTAAATTGAGAAACTAAATGAACTAACAAATTTTGGACGATAAATATGATAATTAAATGTGTGATGTACATGTACAATTTATGCTGCGTAAATGCACTAATACACGACATTCTTTATCATAATATGGAACTCTTATGACCTACGGACATTTTGGCACTTTCTGATTTCGCTTTCCGCTGCCTCTTTCGACCCATGATTCCGATGGCTCCTCTAAAAACCTAACACAGATGGCCGGCACTCAGATACTGCTGCAGCGATTGACGCTGATGAGGGTTCTGGAACCTGTAATGTATCGGCTTGGTAGTACACATATATATAAGAAGACATGTACCTCGTGCATTGCGCCCACTCTAAATGACGTCGTATTATAATTTTTATTTATTTATTTCATTATGCTGTAGGAAAAATAGCCTCGATGGCGTCGTCTGTTATTATCTGAAGAATATTTGTCACTCTTCGATTTCCAATGTGTTTTATTATTTAAATTTTTTATTAATAAATAATTGTTGAATTAAGATTTTTGTAATAAAATTTAGATGTTAAAATATAGTAATTATTTTTTTAAACGTAATTTTCTGTTAATAGATTATATATACACAGTTTGTTTCATATTGCATTTCTCGTCGGCAAAATTCCCCATAAATATTATCTAAAAAAAAATGGAATTCTTAAATGTGCGACCTATATGTACAATTTATGCGGCCTAATTGCACTAATATATGACATTCTTTATCATAAAATGGAACTCTTATGACCTACGAACATTTTGGTACTTTCATTCTATCTAGAGAATTAATATGACCGAATAAACATGGGCGCATACATGAAATTCTAGAAAACTCAGAAAAACTTACGATTTCACTTTCCGCCCCCTCTTCTCCACATGATTCCAATCCTCCTCCAAAAACCTAACATGGCCCGCCGGCACTGACACGCTGCAGCAATTGATGCCCACGGGGGTTCTAGAACCTGTAACGTATAGGCATGGTAGTACACACATATATAGGAGAACAACCTCGTGAGTTCCGTCCACTCTAAACGACGTTGTATTTTAATTATATTTATTTTATTAAGCTGTGGGAAAATTAGCCTCGATGGTGTCGCTATCATTTTCTGAAGAATATTTGTCACTCTTTGATTTCCGATATTTTTTATTATTTGATTTTTTTTTAATTAATAAATAATTGTTGAATTAAGATTTTTGTAATAAAATTTAGGGTGTGTTTCTTTAGGGGGTTACGGGAAAATTTGGGTTTGGGTTTAGTTTTTATTTGATTTTGAAATTAGTTTGAATTTATGTGTTTCTTTTGTGTTTTGGGTTTGGGTTGGGTTTGGAAAGTTTTTTATGTGTATTAATTTGATGGTAATGAATATAATAATGTAAATGTGTATTAATTTGTATAACTTGATTATAAATTTATTTTATATCTACATATATATTTATAAATTTTTTTATATTTGTATTATAAAATTTTTTATTCTCTATGATTATTTTATTCAATTATAATTATTATAATTTTTTATTTATAATTTAGAAAAACTTAAAAAAAAAAAGAAAAAAAATGACAGACGGCCAGGCTGTGTCCCCCCAAAACCTAACAGCCCAAGTTTGGCAAACTTGGGCCGTAGAAACACACCCTTGTATGTTAAAAAATAGTAATATTATTATTATTTTTAATGTAATTCTGTTTGTTTCACATTGCATTTCTCGTCGGCACAATTTCCCATAAATATTAACTAAAAAAAATGGAATTCTTAAATGTGGACTTACATGTATAATTTATGCGGCCTAAATGGACTAATGCATAACATTCTTTATCATAAAATGGAACTCTTATGACCTACTAATATTTTGGTACTTTCATTTTATCTGGAAAATTAATATGATTGAATAAACATGCGCACATACATGAAATTCTAGAAAACACAGAAAAACTTATGATTTCGTTTTCCGCCCCCTCTTTCTCCCCATGATTCCGATCCTACTCCAAAAACCCAACACGGCCGGCCGGCACTGACACACTCCAGCGATTGACGCCCACTGGGGTTCTAGAACCTGTAACATATAGGCATTGTAGTACACATATATATATAGGAGAACAACCTCGTGACCCACTCTAAACGACATCATATTTTAATTTTATTTATTTTATTTTATTAAGCTGTAGGAAAATTAGCCTCGATGGTGTAGGTATCATTTTCTAAAAAATATTTGTCACTCTTTGATTTCCAATATTTTTTAATTATTTGAATTTTTTATTAATAAATAATTGTTGTATTAAGATTTTTGTAATAAAATTTAGATGTTAAAAATAGTCATTTTCTTTTTTATGTAATATTATGTCAGTAGACTATATAATATGTCAATGATGCTTAAATTACTGTAAGGTTTACAAATACTTTTTTATTATTATAATGATATTTTATGTATAAAATTAGACTAACTGATTGGCTGGATTAAAGTACAACATAGATCAAAATAAAACTAATGCAAACATAACAACACAACATTGAATTTGAAAAGAATGCTTGGATGCTGAGCAGCAAGGGGGGCAGGAAGGATACCCAAAGCAGACTTTTCAACGTCGAAAAATCCCAAATAACCTCTTTTGTTCAGACATCAGAAAGTACCTTCATAGTAAGCTATCTGTTTGAAACCCAATTGGCCAGCCTGCGACAGAACATTGAATTCGTAGTTCTTCCATTCTTTATCTGTAGGACGGCAAATGCTGATACAGACGGTGTTGCCCCACCATTGTGTTACTGAGAATACGACGCAAGAAGGCGAAGTTGGCGTATCTGAAAATGCCGCAACTTCGCTGTTCCGATTCAGTTTAGGGAAGCTAACAGTGTTTCCGCTATACGGGTGGAAGAGGAAATGGCGCCGGCTTACAAGGCAGAAATAGCGAATCCAATCATCTTTGCAATAGTAGACAACGTTGCTCTTCATTGCCGGAACTTTGAGGTAATAGGATATGCGGTCAGTAGGGTTGTAGAATTCGCAGAGATCGTGCGATTTTGGGATAAACATAAGCCATGGGTGCTTGCTCGCTTTCCTGACAGATTGGCCAGCAAGCAACCACTTTGTACACAAGGGAGCTTGCAATCTCCATCAGGCTCGCCTTCTCAACTTGCCACAATATTTTTTCCCCGGTAAGCCAAAGCAGATCTGCAAGAATTGAATTATACAAATAAACCAGAATGAAAAGAATAATAGTACTTGATAAAGAAGATCGCGAAAAGGGAACACAAGAAAAAAAAATTATGAAGTAGAATTGAAAAGTTTTCCAGTTAAATTTCAAAGCTTTGCAACTCAAGACATTCATTGTACAAGATGAATCAGTTTTACAATCCACGGTGAAAACTAAATTTTTTACTATCACGATCAAGTAAGGCGAAAACAGTACAATTATACCTTAAATACTTTAATTGTCAGTTCATCTTAACATAGGAAACCATATATATCTTGGACATGACAAATAAAGATCAACAATCCTCACTAAATGTAGTGTGTCCTTTTGATTTTAAATGAAAGAAATAATACAAATGCTCATTAACAACATCATAAAACAACCTTGACATATTAGCATGATAGCACAAATCGAGATATGTTTATCAGAGCAACTATCACTTCCAATATAACAGCTTTAAACTTACACGCGCACGTGTTCAATGTAATCCAGAGCTTTTTTAACCGTTTAGATGTAACTAATAACCATTTAAAGCAACTTTTTGCCGATATTCATTGTTGATATGGTAAGACTTGCAGCCAATAAGATTTTCTTGATCTCTTGTGGATAAGAAACATAAATACAATCCACATGCCGTATACGCATCATTGGGGAAACCGGAAGCCACATGCCATATATAAAAGCATCTGTTATGAAAAATATATGAAAGGATCTAAAATTTTATTAACGAAATCGAGTCAAAATATTGCACCTAGTTTTTGTTTTGGAAGGCTAAGCCCCAAACCAAGTTGGAAACACAAAAATCTACACGAAAACACACCCAAAAACGTGACAAACACAAGAACACCGGCCTACTACCTACGACACAAGAAATATATCCCCCACAAACAAAGATACAAGGCTAAGAGAAACCTACACGTTGAGAGAGCCCTTGCGGCTCAAATCAACAACACAGGGAGAAATAACCATGCCAAGGAACTCCAAATATAGGAGGAAGGCAACCGTTGAAGAACCATTGGAAATCGTCGCCGGAAGGATGCTAGAGAGATCGGCAGAGAGGAGGGCTAGATAAGGTGAGTAATGTAGAGAGAAGATTATGAGAGCGAAGTGAGTGACGGCTTCCTTCCCCCCTCTATTATATAGGTAGGTTAAAAAGAAATGGACGGCCATGATCTCAACCCTAGATCCAACGGTTAAGATCTTGTCTAATAAAAAGGGACGCGGGTCAAAAGTGGGTCACGGGTTGCAGGCATGGGTTAAGCTGCGGGTTGCGAGCTGCGGTTATGGGTTAAGGTAAGTGGATCATGGGCCTGGGTCGTATGTCTGGGCCCAGGTGCACTTGGGCTGCGAGAATGGGTGTATTTTGTGTATAAAATGGGGTGGATCAATTTGGACAAAAATCCAACAAATCCTCCACCTGATTATTTTGTCCGAGTGGATGGGGTACATCATCGCCCCTATATTTACCTGCACAAAAGAAAAAAAAAACATAATGTTAGTCAGAAATATTAACTTAGCCTTTCTACTACTCTAAGTAGTACAGGGCTAATCAAAGGTATCACAATGTATGTATTTCATAGAAGATACAAATTTGTTTGCGGCCAAAACTTTAGTACCTATATCAGATGTGTTATACTCAGAATGAATCTTTTTTAACTTTAAAATTTCTTTAGATACAATATCATATATAAAATGAAAACGCACGTCAATATGTTTGGTTCTATCATGGAATACAGAGATTTTACGCAATTGGATTCCTGACTGACTATCCGAAAAAACAGGAACAACATGCTTAATTAACCTAATTAATTGATTAATCCTTTCAACCATAATGCTTATTTTAAAGCTTCAATTATTACAACAGATTCAGATTCTGTTGTGGATAGAGCTACAATTGTGTTGCAATTGAGATTTCCAACTAATACATGTTCCACACAAAGTAAAAACATAAGAAGTTGTACTTTTTCTGCTATCTCTATCATTTGCATAATTCAAATCCACAAAACCTTCCAATTTAACACTTTCAGTATGTTTACCAAACACAAGACCAATATTTATTGTACCAACTAAGTATCTAAAAACCCACATCAATGCATGCCAATTTTCTAAACCAGTGTTCGACATATACCTACTTGAACAACTAATATCATAAGCTAAATCTGGCCTAGTGCTAACCATTAAGTACATTATAGAACCTATTGCATTAGAATTTGGCACATGGTTCATGTTTTCAAAATTAGATTCCGACTTAGGACATTGATCCCTACTTAACACAAAATTAGAAGTAATAGGAACAGAAACAGATTTAGCATCACTCATAGAAAACTTCTTAAGAATCTAAGTAATATAAGGAGACTGATTCAAAAACAGTCTCAAATTCTTTCTATTCCTAGTGATACACATGCCGAAATCACTTTGGCATCACCCAACAGATTCATGTATAAATTATCACAAAAACACTTAGTCACTGATCAGGAAAACAGGTTGGTTTTTTAGAGTCTTAAAATACAAACAATAATAAAATTTGCTTTTAATAAAATCAAGATTTTTCATACAATTATCAAATTTGATATTCCATTGTCTGGGTGACTGTTTTAAACCATACAATGACTTATTCAACAAACAAACATGATTCATTCTGTTTTTATCAACAAAACAATCATGTTATTTCATATAAATTTTCTCATTTAATTCACCATGTAAAAAAATTTGTTTTAATATATAATTGTTTTAGCTCTCAATCATAAAATGCAATTAGAGCTAACATGACTCTAATAGTGCCAAATTTGACAACAAGGGCAAAAATTTCATTATAATTTATTCATTCCTTTTGGGTAAAACCATTAGCTACTAATCTAACCTTAAACCTAATTCAATATTATCTTCTTGTTTAAGTTTATAAATCCATTTACAATCAACAATTGAACAATTATGAGGTTTAGAGACCAAACACCAAGTTTTATTATCATATAATGAATCCATTTTTTCTTTCATTGCTTTTAACCACTGATTTTTATTTTCAGAATTCATGGCTTTCATAATGTCTTAGGTTCATTGCCATCTAAATTCTCAAATACACTAAAAGCCAAAAAAGGTAAATCAAAATCACCAAGCCTAATAGGTAACCTAAGGATTCTCTTATCCATATCTCTAGTCAATTGGTAATTTTCTAACTCATTTTGATTACTACCATCAAAATCAGATTCATTTTGACTATTATTACCAAAATCAGATTCATTTGATTTTCAGAAATGCTATTATCATTTTCAATAACAATTTCCTCTCTCACATCAGATTCTACACGAATTTCAGCATTATTTTCAATATTTTCTGTCTCACCTATACTAACAACGTTAAACTCCACCTCATTTGGAATATTACTAAACTCTATATTTTCAATATTAATTTCAGATTTATCCAAAACAGATTTTTCAATATTTAAATAGGGTCTCTCATTTTCATTGAAAATAACATCTCTACTAATAACAGTTTTAAAACTAGGTCTAGATCTTAACCACAATCTATAACCCTTAACTCCTTCCGGATAACCCAAGAAAATACATTTGTCAGCTCTAGGGTCTAATTTGTCAGTATTGACATGTATAAAAGCAAAACACCTAAATACCCGAATATTTGAAAAATCAATTTTCCTACTGGTCCACTTAAATTTAGGACAACCACCATTCAAGGGAATTAAGGGTGATCTATTGACTATATAAGCTGCTACGAGCAGCTTCCCCCAGAAAATTTTAGACAAACCGGATGAAGCCAAAAGGCTTCGAACTCTCTCCAAGAGAGTCGGTTCATCCTCTCTGCCACCCCATTCTGCTGGGGTGTGTAGGGGACAATCCTATGTCTATTTATACAATTTTCTTGACAAAAATCATCAAATCTAGAGTTGCAAAATTCTAAGTCATTATCAGTTCTTAGATATTTAATTTTCTTTCAAATTTGATTTTTAATTTTGATTTTCCAAATTTTGAAAATATCAAACACATCAGATTTATTCTTTATAAGAAATACCCATGGTTTTCTAGAAAAATCATCAATAATGGATAAAAAATATCTAGACCCACCATGTGTGGGCTCACTAGGTGGGACCCACACATCAACATATAAATAATCCAACATAGATTTTTAGATAATTCACATTTTTCACTAGGGGATGGGAAAATTGGACCCTATGGTTTTTACCATACACACAATTATCACAAAAGGGCATTTGATTGAATTTTACATTTCCTAAGGATCCATTTTTATGTAAAATTTCTAATCCTTTATTATTTAAGTGTCCTAATCTCTTATGCCACAAATTACTATTCTCTTTAACATATTTTATTGTGTTTACAGGCATAATAATTGGTTCAGCACAAGTAGCGTACAAATTATTACGTTTTACAGCTTTAAACACAACTAAAGATCTTTTAGTAATTTTCATACAATCATTTCCCCATTTTCCCACTAATTTTAAATCTGATAAAACAACACAAGATAACAGATTATTTGATAAACCAAGAACATGTCTCACATTGTTTAATTTTAGCACAAAACTAGTGTTAAATTTTAAATTTACACTACAAATTCCAAGCACATTAGAGACGCTATTATTAGCCATGGAAACAGTGCAATTTTCTAAAGTTTTGTATTAAAAAAAAAAACACGATTTTAATGGAGTCATATGGTAAGTGCATCCAGAATCAATAACCCATTCATTCATACATACATTGTTCACATTCAAACAGTCGACAGTAACAGTAAAGACATCACCACAATTTCGATCAAGTAATGTTATATTGGCTAACTCATTAACATGTTGTTGGCTACCATTATTATTACTGTTTGTAGTGTTATTACTCTTCTTCTTAGGATACTCACCTATAAAATGGTTAGGATCACCACAATTATAACATTTTCTACCCCATTTATTTGGAATTCTAGATCTATTGTTTCATCTGCTTTTAGATCTATATTTATTACGATTATTCTGGTTTTTATTACTATTATTACTATTTCCAGAATTACCTTTTTTATTTGATTTAAAAGGAGACCTACCTCTAGTATACATGACTTCACCCTTATTGGACTTATGAATTTGTAAGTCTAATTCTTTAGATTTTAACCACTTAATGACTACATCTAATGTCACAAAATCACGCCTATATTTAATAGCAGATTTTACATCCATGTATGAGTTAGGTATGACATTTAACAAAACTATAGCACTATAATCATCAATATTTTTTATCACCAGTAAGTTTTATATCTTGTATTAATTTTGAAAAATTATCCAGATTTTCATCAATTGTTTGACAAATCTAGTTTAAAACTAATTTTTTTCCTAACAAATACAACCTACCAGGAAGTGAAGTTTGAGTGTATAGTTCATCCAATTTGTTTCATAATGCCAAAGCAGATTATTGTTTACCTACTTTTCTAATTACATGATCTTCTAAGTTAAGTATTATAATAGAGTAAGCCATTTCATGTAACTCAGCCCTACTCTCTAGAGGAACTTGAGCTACATGATCCAGCTCAATTGCTATAATTCTTCTTTGAGTGAGTAAAATGTTTCTCATTTTTTATTTTCAAATTGCAAAGTCCATTTATCCATCAAAAGGTAGAATATTAAAACTAGAGTTACCAGCCATTTTGTTGTTTTAATAAAAACAGATTTTAATTTCAAAAGACCAATTATGTTTTTAATTTCAGAAAATTATTTATTTTAATTTTCACAAAAAAACGGAATATATGGCAAGCAAATCACACGGAACAAACAAACACAAATTATCACACACAACAGATAATCGCAACAAGCAATTAGGCAATCAAAGAAATATATCACCTAACTATTATAACATACATTCGTGACTATTCAACCGAGGTACTCGAGAATCACTCACAAAGTGAGGATCGGAGTTTAGTAACCTTGATTTCACAATAACCTTTACAATTTATTTTTTGGGCGCAAAAAAAAAATTAAATGCAGAAATTAATTCAAAAACACAAAAACAATAAACAATGTGAGTTAAGGGGTTACCCTTGTAGCACAACAACAAAATTTTTATTTTCCTACAAAACAGTAGGAGAAACAAAAAAAACAAAACCTATTATCTTTTTCT